ACACAGAAATCAGACTTTCTTTCTCACAATTCCGAGTTTACATCTTGCAATCCTAGATTTTTTTCTCAGAATTGAGTTTACATCTTCACAATTCTGCTTTTTTTTTTGTTTCCACCATGTACTAATAAAAAAAGAGGTAACTGCAACTTTAACTCACAATGAGATTGATTTTATATCTTGTCGTTCTAAGTTTATATCTTGCAGTTCAGACCTTTTTCTTATACATTAGTAATTTTTGATAAGGTGCCTCCCAGATTTTGAACTATTTTTTGAGAGAGAGTTTAGAAAACATATCTAACACTGTGTACTAACCAAATGTGATGCAATAAGATTCCAGCAACAAGCAATTTGTTTGTCCACACCAGATGCAAAATGTCCATCATGCCCATTTCCAGCATAATTGTGACTTTTTATCTTACAGTTCAGACATTTTTCTTAGAACTCTGTTTATGGCTTACGATTCTGACTTTTTTTCATGATTCTGAAAAAAGGTCAGAATTGCGACACAGAAATCAGACTTTCTTTCTCACAATTCCGAGTTTACGTCTTGCAAAAAAAAAAAATTTTCTCAGAATTGAGTTTACATCTTCACAATTCTGCTTTTTTTTTTGTTTCCACCATGTACTAATAAAAAAAGAGGTAACTGCAACTTTGCGTTAAGCTAACTGAGACTTGTTATAGCACTTGCATATCATTGCTCTTTTGTTGATATTGATTGCTTCCATTGTCCTCATTTGTAAGTCGCTTTGGATAAAAGCGTCTGCTAAATGTCTAAATGTAAATGTAAATGCAATTTTGACTTTTCCTCTCTGCATTCTGAGTTTACATCTCACATTTTTTTTCCATTACAGAATAAAAAATAAAATTCAGACTTTTTAACCGGGTTTTATATAGGCTATCACAATTTTTTATTTTTATTTTTTGCAAAATAGCCAGAAAAAGTCTTAACTGTGAGATAAAACATTGTTCTATTTTTTATTATTTTATACAAAATAAGCTACAGAATCAATCAAAAAATTACAGCCAATCAGAACAGCGTGTGGGCGGAGTCTCTTTGCAAGCGCACTGCACTCGCAACAGAGCCATAGAGAGAGAGTTGCGACAACTGAGCCGCTCAATAGTTCCCGGAAGTTAGCGCTGCTCCGTAGAGATGCTTTATAGTTTATTATAAATGTATAAATCGATTGCTGTAAATAAGAGCATAACAAAAGTCAACATACATAAGATATGATTAAAGGTGTAAAATGTTTGAAGTTGTTTTAAATTTGAATATACTACAAATATATTTTTATATATTAATAACTGAGGGGTGCACAAGAATCAAAAACATTAAACAAGATTAATTTTCACTTAATCTTAACATATCTTCACTTATTTGGAATGAATTTTCTAAGACAACGAACTTAACATTTACCATGAGATTAGTAAAACGACAATTAACATTAAGATTACATACAAGTTGTAAGAACACACACACACACACTCAGACACACATCATACAGACATATAGATAGTTGACCACATTAATCCTCAAATATTAGCGGATTTTATCTTTTAAAAACAACACTGATTGCCCGCTATGAACTTCCTGGAACTATTTGAGGTCTACGCGAATCACGTGACGATCGAGCGTTTCGAACTTCCGTTGTCGCAACTCTCTCTCTCTCTCTCTCTCTACGGCTCTGCTAAACATTATTTAAATAAAAATAAATAAATAAATATAACAGTTACTGAGTGACTGATGCAATCGTTGTAACGGAATACATTGGTTGTTCACACTGAGTTCATAGTCACCGTTCATGTTTCCATTCATTAACGATCTGAGGCCTAGTATCCATTGTTGCTTTCAGTGTAACTATAAAGGTTATGCAAAATGATAGTCACATTAGATACGGTTTTAACAATAAATAAAGCACATAGTCAGTACCTGATACTATCATTGTCATAAAGACAATCCGGTCCTGTCTCTCTTCGCGTTGCATCGCGTCAGGTTAGAACAGGTTGTAAATGTTTAAGCTTCCAGAAAAAGTGTTTATCTTAATATTCTTCAAGTCAGCAAGAGCAATGATATCCCGTATCCACATCTGAAAGTGTTCATTTAGTCATGACAGATAGATTTTCCTCAGTGTTTCCTCATGTTTTAATGTTGTTGTTTGAAGACTTTGGGGTAAATTAATGCATTAGGGGAAATATAGGCCTCTGCCATGTGGGCCATAAAATGAAGGTTTATTAAATACAAAATACATACATTTGAATACAAATTTCTAAAGCATTTAATGTTTGATATGATAAGTATAAATCTAAAATGGGTTTGGTCAATAGTCAGTTAACATAATTTTGGTTTGAAACACATTATCTTTGCTGTTTGCTGATTTACAATATAAAAACTTAAACCATGTTTGGTTGTAAAAATCAGTGTACATACTCAACCTAGTAGTTTGAGAGACCATAGCAAAAACTGAAGTATTAATTCAGAGGGAAACATGATGTAAGTGTCATATTACTCAAGAACTGTCACTCAAGTTATTCACAGCAAAAATGGCAAGCATCTCATTACATGAAAGAAAAAAACAAGGCAAAACTGCTGGACCTGAATCTTGTGCACTTTTGTTTCTGCATGCACGTTCAGTTCTGTGCACAGAGAATTAGTTTTGTCCACTGAGGCCGTTTTTGAGAGGTTTATAAAGGCTTTTAAAAATAATAATAATTAGCTCTGACTCGTTCTTCTAAAACCCAGGTTTTTCATGCGGAGGGGTAATGTGGCATTAGTGGGATGTTTAATAATTCAGGTTTAGTCAAAGATGTTTTGTGCAGACTGTTACAGCTCTGCCACCTGCCACGCTTGCTGTATCTGAGTCATTATGAGCCGAAGCACTCACTGCTCACTGCTGCTTCAGTTTGGCCAGGTGACAAAATCATTATCACTTCAATGCACTTTGCATACTACAAGCAGCATGAAACAAAAGAGCAAGATGAAGAGAATTATGACGTGCCGTTAATTTCACACTTCACAAGATTTTAACATAGTAAATTAAACATTTTACAACTGAAATGACCTTTGATCGGATCCAAATACACATACACAAGTTAAAGGCAAATTAAAGGCATACTACTAGTACCATGTATAAATACTTATAGCCTATCTAAACTTAGAAGTATTGTTTATTTATTATTAAAATATTATTTACATTACAGTTACAAGACTGTGTAATATAATATAACATAATATTTAGTGCTGTCAAACGATTAATCGCAATTAATCACATCCAAAATAAAAGTTTTTGTTTACATAATATATGTGTCTGTACTGTGTATATAAATACACACACATGCATGTATATATTTAAGAAAAATATGTTACGTTTATATAAAATATAATATAATATAATATAATATTCATTCTTTTGATTTTAGGCTGAATTATGATTTGGACTGGACTTGATTTTAGTCTGAATGATGTTCTGGTCAGGTTTCATAAGATTATTGATAGAACCATGATAAACTTTTACATAAATCCCAGAGTGATATTGCTAATATATGGGGTGTGTTTGAGTAGTGCATGTCTGTGAGCTGGATGAGCTCTGCTCTGATTTGAAATGCAGTGAGGATGATGTTGTGCTAAGCCCAGCTGTTGCTCATACAGACACTGTCAGACGAGGCCTGAGTGTTCCTGAGCAGAGGTGCAGTCTGGGTAAAGGAGAGAGCTCCTGTCCTGCTCGCACGCTTCAGCCTTTAATCTGCTTTAGCTTCTGCCAGCGCGTGGATGTTGACTTTTATTTATTTATATAACTGTTGGGCCACACAGTTTAGGGGTGGAAGAGGAAACGGTTTACCAGGAAACGGTTTAAGGGAAATATTCATAGAAGGACACTAGTGATAAGCCTGATGAAGCATTAAAAGCACCAAGAGGCTATAAAGGACATGAAGAGGAAAGATCACGAAGCATCATAATCGTACCCATCACCATTACATGATATCTTGACGAGGTTATGATTCACTGTGATTTAAGATGATCTTCGATACTCGAATGAATCTGAGAAGTCATTATTGAAATTACACATGGGTTATGCCTGGATATATTTCTGTCAATGCAGTGACTTTTTCACTTCGACAAACAAAGGGAAGGAGCATGAGATGGCGATCTGTAGCGCCACCGAGTGGTGAATCAAGTCAATTCACCCATAGCTCCTTTTGAGTAAGCCTACCAAGTGTTAAAAGTACAGAGAAATTAGAGGCGAAATGTGAACGCTATGTCAAAACTTTATTTAATCAAAAGTATATATCCAAAAACATGCTTTAAAAAGTAAACAACCGAACCAAACAAAACAAAAACGTACATTTGGGACAATATTTGTATATTACTAATAATTCTGGCCGTAAATTGCTTACGTTCCTGCATAAATGTACATTTGCATTTTAAATGCATTTTTTAATTTAAATAATATTTTACAGTTAAGCTTTGATAACTGTAAAGCATTTTGATAACTGTAAAGCACCCAGTTTTGCACAGTTGTCTCAATTTCCAGTCTATACGTCTTTTTAAACTTATTTATTTGACATTTCAGTGACTGTGTTCACGACACATGTCAGTTAAGTTCAACAGTGTTGCATATGTTGATATATAAAGTGTAATTTGGCTTGTTTACTTTGTAACTGAAACTGCTTATGTAATCAAAATTCAAACTTTTTTTTATCTTTTAGCCTGCTTGGATTTTGATTCTGACCCATGGATCTTTGATACTGTGTGTGTGTGTGTGTGTGTGTGTGTCAAATGTATTACAGAATTTCATATAGTTGAAAATGTCACCTTGTCTTAAATTACAAAGAAAGTAACATATATGAAGTGTTGAATCCACGTTACAACACATTATATTAATTTGGACCTCTGCACATTTGTCCCCTTTGAGGCCCTTCTCTTAAAAAAAAAAAAAAAAAAAAAAAAAAATCACAAGTAAACACACAGTATCTTGATTTTAAGAATATTCAGATATTTACCCTCATCATTATTTCTTACCTATGAAACCCTTTAAACAGCTTGAGAAATGAAATGATCTATTTATATCTGCCCATCGCTCATCTGAGAATCACAACTGGTGGATAAAATCTGATTTCGGAGGCGGTAAGAGAAAGAAAAAGCTAAGCATTTCGATAAAGAAAGTGAATCGTGATGATGTTTGTATGGCTGCGATTTATCAGCCGATTTAAATGTGTTTTACTGCTTTATAATGAGACTGGCAGAATAATTAAAGAGTTTATTGCTAATATATTAGTTATAATTAAGGCAGGTTGAAAATATTATAACCAAACGATGAATTAGATGAAGGGTGTGACGGGAGATTAATCTTAAAGAGAAATAAACAAATATATAGGTGTGTTGTTATGATGGTTGCTATGGAGGTTTACAAAATAACAACAAGTAATCACAGTATACACGCTGATTTTGTGCCTGTTATTATTTTTAGCTCCCCGGAAATATCGCAAATCAAAACACATTTCCTCGTAACAGGCCAGTGTCACTTTCAGTTGCTTGTGTGTGAATGAGATAGTTTTTGTTTGTATATTGTAACGTTTATTAATGTTTTGGGCTTTCAAACACGAATCTTTTGATATCAGGGCAGATTTTTTTATTTAGTTTGTTACATCTGACTGAGGGAAACTTTGGTTTTTTAACAGTTTGAAATCAACCACAGCATTATCTGATCTGTCAAAGAAGTGGTAAGTGAAACTGAGGTTTATTTATCATATGATAGGCTCTTAAAGGGGTCATATGATGCTGCTAAAAAGAACATTATTTTGTGTATTTGGTGTAATGAAATGTGTTTATGCGGTTTAAAGTTAAAAAACCACATTATTTTCCACATACTGTACATTATTGTTTCTCCTCTATGCCCCGCCTTTTTGAAACGCGTCGATTTTTACAAAGCTCATCGGTCTGAAAAAGCGAGGTGTGCTGTGATTGGCCAGCTATTCAGTGCGTTGTGATTGGCCGAATACCTCAAGCGTGAGACGGAAATGTTACGCCCCTCACCATACTGTTGATGCCGTGTCCGGCCGGAGCGACGAGACATAAACATTAAAACCCATTACAAACGAGGCATTTGTTGCATCCAGTGGGGACATAATTACTGATTATAATGACTTATACTGTCTTTTTACGCGTTGCGTTGCATTGCGCCGCGTAAACATAAAACCCTGTCTGCATTTGTGATCAGAGAAATTACAAACAACAAGTGCTAACGTTAATCCACACTGCCCAAAACTCGCGTTTGAATCATCAGTGGCAAATGATAAAAGAAAACGTACTTACGTGAGTCAGAACTGCCGGCATTTTAGTCTAACGTAACTCTCCCAGGATCAGTAAACAGTCCTCCATAAAATGTGCTGGCGATCCACAGCACTAAGTTGATGTATTCCCTCAGCGACCAGCACGGATCAGCTCTAGGCATGACGAAGCGGATATCGTCCTCTTTTGGAAGACCAAACAAAGTAGCTTCGCTTTCACAACGAAACACACAGCGTCTTCAGGACATGGCGGCAGCGGCAACAATACTACAGCGAGAATAAAAGTTACGCCTTCTTTCTTTGCGTGAACATTTGGGCGGCGTTATGCAAATCTTCCCACATAGTGAGGTAGATATGTGGGGGCGTGTTCGAACGAGCCGTTTTAGGTAGGTGTGGCTAACTCTTAACTTTTATAAAGAATATCTCTTTGGATTTGAGACTTTAGTCTTTGCAACTTTACAGATCTTCTTTATGCACCAAGAGCTTGTAACACTCTAAAGAGAAAGGAAAAAATGAAATCGCATCATATGACCCCTTTAAATAAGCATCTTTTCAAAGTAGCTTTACTTAGGAAGGACTTAAAAGGAGAGTTTACCTGAAAATGAATATTATGTCATGATTTACACACCCTTATATTACTTTTTCCTTGGAACACAAAAGCTGGGATGAATGTCAAGATTTTTTTCAGTCAATAACAAGTTTGTTCTTATATAAACCTTCATTTTCCATTTACTCAACCATTGGTGTTGTCTATATTCATTTAACACAGAAGGATTCAGTATAAGCGCAACATATATTTCATGACCCTTGGTTAAATGCAGTATTTTTCAAATTGTAAGTGTGAGACATTGCGTAACCTAGTGTTAAAAGTCACTAAACAAAACAAATTGTAATTATGTTTGACTTCACCAAGACAACATTTAAATGAATATAGCCATAGAAAGTTATTTGCAAGAAATGTTCAGAATTAGTTAGGGACATTATTAGAAAATATAAATAGACTATTATTCTATTAAACCATGACATATAGTTGAGCCTGTGTGTTATTTTAGGTTGCAGATTTGACTTTGTAAAATATAGAGCTTGTTTAAATATATATTTTTAAATGATTATTAGAGATGAAGGCTAATTATGTGTAAGGCTGAAAATAAGGCTCTGTCTGCATTGCCCCGCTTACTGACACACTTTAATTTCTTGCCGTAGGTATAATCACTTATCCCACGATTCTCTGTTTCTGTGTGTGTCCTCTACAGGGTCCGGACTGTGGATGCCTTTGAGTTCAAACCCAACAGGGTTCGAGAGGATGTCATTGTGAGGGACGCTCTGTGTGGTGAGTCATTTGCATCGCTTGAACAAATCCCTCACACTAAGTAACAAACTTCAGTTTGTCAGAAAAGCAAATATGTGCAGTTTAGTATCTACTGTAAAGAATCTCACAATATTTTTAAGTTTGTTTTCTGCTTTGGAATGAGTTTACATTGTCATTTTTGGCACTGACCATTCACATCTTACTTTTAGGCTGTTTGGCCTTTTGTTTTGTAAGCGATTTGCATCTCAAAAGTGTTTTATGTAAATGAGATGCTAAGTTTCAGCCCAAGCTGAAGATGGAAACGTCTTCCTTGTTTCTTTAACTAAAGACACCAGTGAAGTTTCAGTGATACCAGGATAATAAATGGTTACCACAGCATTATAAGGGAGCTTCGTTTTGAAGCTGGCACCCTCTCGATCCTTTTACACACTGAAATTTTAATTACAAAAATATGAGGCTTCTTAGATTTGGACTTTCACTGTATTTGTGTCTGTTTCTAGTGGTTGGATATGGGAATTTAAAAGATTTAGTGGGTTATTATATTATTTAGATAGAAGTGCATGCTTGATTCAAAGTGTACTTCTATTCAAAAGTCTTTATTGCTCACCAAGGCTGTGATTATTTGATGAAAAATACAGCAAAATTGTGAAATATAATTACAACAGTTTTGTTATTTTATTTGAATATATTTTAAAATGTAATTTATTCCTGATGCAAAGCTGAATTTTCAGCATCATTACCCCAGTCTTCAGTGTCACACGATCTTTCAGAAATCATTGTGATACAAGGTTATTATAGTTAACTTAAACTAAAACCATAAAAAACATTTTTGTTGCTTAAAATAAATAAAATATATATTTTTTTTTTAATACTTTTTTGCCAGAGCAGTATAACTTGATGTACTGTAACAATTTACTTAAACTTTATCTTAAATTGAAAAGAAAAAGAAAATACAATAATAAATCTAATTCAAAATATTAAATAGGATTGCTTACCAACTCAAGTCAGAGCCCACCTCAAGTCACTGTGCTATTCTGGTCTATATATATATATATATATATATATATATATATGGCTTTCCTTAAATGGAAGTTGATGGGATTTTTGAACCCATTTTTTAATTTGTCATAAAAATGTACATTCAATCATTTGAAAAAGTAATAACTCATCTTTCCTTAAGACACAATTTGAGGTTATAATTTTATGTCTGTAGCACCGTCGAACTCTCAAAATGAGCTGAAGTAAATGCTATACTCATCGTAGTAAATAGTGACATTTATGTTTATGCATTTGGCAGATGGTTTTATCAAAAGTGACTTAAATTGCATTGAAGGATATAAATTATATCAGATCATCCATTCCCTGGGAATCAAACCCATTGCCTTGGTGTTGCTACAGTGTAAAAAAAACAAACATTTTTTTAAAGTTGTAAACTAATATTATTGGAGTATGTTTTACAAGAAAACGTTTCAGTTCTTCTACTTAAAAATGATTTTATATGTAACTTGCCATTTGTAATTGTGAGATTTACTAGCAATGACAAAATAGTTTCTACACTATTTTTTTCACTGTAGTGCCTTGCACATGTTGTATTGCTTTCCAATGCATCTTCTTTATCTATACAGTAACATTATTAATAAGCATGTGAATCAGTTATGTCTGGCTGGAATGGTGAGCCAATGGGAGTCTTGCTCGTCCTGCTCACCCCTCTATCTCTCTCTTTGCAGGTGAGAATGCAGTCTTCAGGACACCGGTTGAGGGATGTGGAGCAGCACCAGCCCCTGCTGAGTGGAGGAGAGGAGGAGGTGGCGGCTAGCCGCGTCTGGTTCATCCAGGACAGCTGCGGGATGGTGTGCGCCTTCATGACCTGGTTTCTGGTTATGTACGCAGAATTCGTGGTAAACTTTGTCATGCTGCTCCCCTCCAAAAGCTTCTGGTACTCTCTCATCAACGGTGTGGCGTTTAACTTCCTGGCTGTGCTGGCGCTGACGTCACACCTGCGAACCATGCTGACGGATCCGGTAAGAGAGGACTGTTATTTTGATTAAATTTGATTATGATGGGTGTTATTGATGTGAGGTGTGCTGTGTTTATCAGGGAGCTGTTCCCAAAGGTAACGCTACTAAAGAATACATGGAGAGTCTGCAGCTGAAGCCAGGAGAGGTCATCTACAAGTGTCCAAAATGCTGCAGCATTAAACCAGAGAGGGCACACCATTGCAGGCATGACCAACATCTGATAAATGACTCATTATTTGTATCTGTACATGGTCACATTCTACACTTTTGTAGAATTTTTCCTGTCTTAAAATGTCAGGCCAGGTTTCTAGCACCAAAAACAGTCAATTTATGTCAATTTTCCACCCTCTTTTTGACACTTTTTACAGGATTATGTTATGGTTGGCTGATCTTTTTACATTTGGAAAGAATAAAATCCTCCCTTTCAAGTTGCTGAATACCACATAGGCATTGATATGTGAACATGATTTGTCATATTTTAATGTGTTCATGGTTGTGACATCATAACTTAAACTGAAGAAGCCATTTTTGCAGTATAGTTTGAATATACGCTACCATTCCAAAATTATTTTATGCTCACCAAGGTTGCATTTATTTGATTAAAAATACATTAGAATTATGAAATATGATTGCAGTTTAAAGTAACTTTTTTCTATTTGAATATATTTTAAAATATAATTTATTTCTGTGATGCAAAGCTGAATTTTCAGCATCATCACTCCAGTCTTCAGATGTCGTCACATGATTATTCTAATATCCTGATTTGCTACTGAAAAAAACATTTCCTATTATTAGCAGTGTTGAAAACAGTTGGGAAACTGTGATCATTTTTTTAGGATTGTTTAATGAATAGAAAGTTCAAAAGAACAGCATTTAATTAAAATAGAAGTCTTTTGAAACATTGTAAATGTCTGTACTGTCACTTCTGATTAATTGAATGCCTCCTTGATGAATAGAAATATTCCATTTTAAAAAATCTAGTAGTGTATTGTTGACTAGGGAGGAATTATTTCCAAAAGAGCCAGAAAAATCCTATTTTGCCTTACATATCCCCTTTAAATCAAGTAATTTGTATTTAAAGGCCAAGCATCAGTGACTTCTAGACGTTTCTCGTCTTGTTTTATAACTGGTATGGTCTTTTCTCCTGTTTTGTTTGTTGTAGTATCTGTAAGAGATGCATCAGGAAGATGGATCACCACTGTCCTTGGGTCAACAACTGTGTGGGCGAGAACAATCAGCGATTCTTTGTCCTCTTCACTGTGAGTGTGTCTGATACTGCTGCTGTCTCTTCTTTTACAATATTTTCATGGTGGAATTGCTGACCTTCTTGTGCCTTAGTTTTAGAGAAAATATGATTATGAAATGGTGATTTCGGCTCTAACATCTGTTTGCATGAGCTGCGACCACATAAGGTTTCCATTTATACTCTGTATTGCTTTAATGTCCTTAATCAGTGACCTTTCCTCTGATAAACGTCTCCGGCATCAGTGTACAACAATATTTAGAGGATTTTATCAAAAGCATTTTACATTGAAAGTAAATTTTGAATAATATTTGGCTTTTTTTCCTTCTCAGATGTACATAGCCTCCATTTCTTTGCATGCGCTGTGTCTCAGCGGTTTCCAATTCTTCACCTGTATTAAAGTCCAGTGGAATGGTGGGTAATAGACATTTGAGATTGTCGATCCATTACTGGAGGCAAAGCTGAATTTTCAGCATCATCACTCCAGTCTTCAGATGTCGTCACATGATTATTCTAATATCCTGATTTGCTACTGAAAAAAACATTTCCTATTATTAGCAGTGTTGAAAACAGTTGGGAAACTGTGATCATTTTTTTAGGATTGTTTAATGAATAGAAAGTTCAAAAGAACAGCATTTAATTAAAATAGAAGTCTTTTGAAACATTGTAAATGTCTGTACTGTCACTTCTGATTAATTGAATGCCTCCTTGATGAATAGAAATATTCCATTTTAAAAAATCTAGTAGTGTATTGTTGACTAGGGAGGAATTATTTCCAAAAGAGCCAGAAAAATCCTATTTTGCCTTACATATCCCCTTTAAATCAAGTAATTTGTATTTAAAGGCCAAGCATCAGTGACTTCTAGACGTTTCTCGTCTTGTTTTATAACTGGTATGGTCTTTTCTCCTGTTTTGTTTGTTGTAGTATCTGTAAGAGATGCATCAGGAAGATGGATCACCACTGTCCTTGGGTCAACAACTGTGTGGGCGAGAACAATCAGCGATTCTTTGTCCTCTTCACTGTGAGTGTGTCTGATACTGCTGCTGTCTCTTCTTTTACAATATTTTCATGGTGGAATTGCTGACCTTCTTGTGCCTTAGTTTTAGAGAAAATATGATTATGAAATGGTGATTTCGGCTCTAACATCTGTTTGCATGAGCTGCGACCACATAAGGTTTCCATTTATACTCTGTATTGCTTTAATGTCCTTAATCAGTGACCTTTCCTCTGATAAACGTCTCCGGCATCAGTGTACAACAATATTTAGAGGATTTTATCAAAAGCATTTTACATTGAAAGTAAATTTTGAATAATATTTGGCTTTTTTTCCTTCTCAGATGTACATAGCCTCCATTTCTTTGCATGCGCTGTGTCTCAGCGGTTTCCAATTCTTCACCTGTATTAAAGTCCAGTGGAATGGTGGGTAATAGACATTTGAGATTGTCGATCCATTACTGGAGGACAGATGATATCATGTCATAAGAAGTCAAGTGCAAGACTTTGACATTCAGCGTGCTGTGTCATTGTAGGCTTCTTTTGCTCTGATAAGCCACTTTAAGTTCAAGAAAACACTTTGTTGTCTATAATATTACAGTTTAGACATTTTATTTTCCTTATATATTTACAATAAATGTATTCATAATTAAATTAATAATAGATTTGATCAAATTAATATTTAAAATGTATACATTTTTTCAAATTGACATCCTTTGTCACCAAGAATCTATATTATGTTTTTTTTTTTCTAATTGGCTTTTTATTTGTGTGTACAAACAGTATCTACAGTATGTACTTTTTTTTTTTTTTTTTAATGTGTCACTAAGAATGTATTTGATCATTTTTAATAGTATTTTTTTCATTTTCTTTCCACTAGAATAAAAGAGTTTTTTTAAAAACTAGAATAAAAGTTTTTTTTTTTTGTAATCTGTACTACTGTTCTTTTACTCCTCATACAAAGCACTTGGGAATTTGATGTCCAGCATTGGTTTTGACAGCATCATCTCATCCGTGTTGTTCTCCTCTGTTCTGTAGAGTGTAGTGATTTCTCCCCACCTGTGGCGGTGATGCTGCTAATTTTCCTGTGTCTGGAAGCACTGCTGTTTCTCACCTTCACTGCTGTCATGTTCGGCACTCAGATTCACTCCATCTGTAATGATGAGACGGTAAGTGGACTTCCACAAACCTCCAGAAGTCCTCTGACCTGGTTACTACTACCATTACTTCTGACGGAACTGAACTTAACAGCCATGTTTGTTTTATTATTTATTACAGTGTATTATAATTATAATTATAGAAAGAACAACCCTGCAGAATTATTTATGTTAAAGGGGTCATATGATGTTGCTAAAAAGAACATTATTTTGTGTATTTGGTGTAATGAAATGTGTTTATGCGGTTTAAGGTTAAAAAAACACATTATTTTCCACATACTGTACATTATTGTTTCTCCTCTATGCCCCGCCTTTCTGAAACGCGTTGATTTTTACAAAGCTCATCGTTCTGAAAAGCGAGGTGTGCTCTGATTGGCCAGCTATCCAGTGCGTTGTGATTGGCCGAATACCTCAAGCGTGTGACGGAAATGTTACGCCCCTCACCATACTGTGATGATGCCCCGTCAGACCGGAGCGATGATTCAAAAACATGAAAACCCATTATAAACGAGGCATTTGTTGCATCTAGGCAATTGTCCAGTGGGAACAATTACGGATTATAATGACTTATCCTGTCTTTTTACGCATTGCGTTGCATCGCGCCGCGTAAACATAAAACCATGTCTGCATTTGTGATCGAAGAAATGACAAACAACAAATATTCATCTGAATATTTGGTTTGAACTGTTCTGGAACAGTGTTGTAAATACAACTTAACCACTGATTTCTAGTCGTGTCCTCTTTTGGAAGACCAAACAAAGTAGTTTCGCTTTCACAACGAAAAACACAGCGGCCTAGC